ACGAGAGCGACATTTAGTTGAAGGAAAAGTTAAAAAAAAAAAAACGCATCGAATGAGACCAGTTGGGTCAAAATCGGAGGTGACGTGGGTATTCTGCATAATTACCATTAATTCTTTCGGTACTCAGCGTAACAACGCAAAATAGTTGCTATCAGCTCGGTTTGTCAGATTTATAGGTTAGAATGGCATGTTGATATGTACTTTGCGATTGCAATAAACGTTATCACAGCATATCTGTGCATAATAATCTACACATTTTTTGAACGTTATATTAACCCTCTGTTATCGAAAGACTTGATGAGATTGTGGATTATTATATTTTCTAAAAAAATATTTTGTATTTTTTGTGTACAATTTTTTTAAGAGATAGCATTTTTAATCAGCTTTTGATCATTGGTGCTATTTATAAATATTAGTTTCTAAAAGTACTTTTGATAATTAGATGATTATACTATATTAAGTTTTGTATTTAACTCTATATTTTATTATAGCTTAAAGAAATGCATTGTCAGAGGAGTTTACATTTTTGTATGCATTATATATCTCAAATATACTGGACTTTGCTAACTTATCATCACTCTAAGTGATGAAATCTAACACCAAAATTATTTTAGAATGGCAAATCTGAGATAATTATAAAATTGTTATAAAAGCACAAACATCATAGAATCTTTAGACATAATACTTCAAGTGTGAACAATTAATTACACTGTAATTTCACAGATGTTTATATGATTTCTTATCATTTTATTTGACATCAGATGAAAACTTTTGGATATCGACAAGAAATTATTTTTTAAGAAAAAAATAATTGACATACGCTTTATGTATGAAAAACATTCATGAAAAACATTTCAATATATTTTGAAGTGAGTAAAATATACGTAATGTCATTATATGATACTTAATTCTTTTTCACATACAATTATCCAATATTATAGAATAATATTTTATAATTTTTATAATTTTCTAATAAAGTTGTATAAAAATATTTTTCAAACATATTTTAATTATAGGACACAATTTCAGGATATATTATAATTTTGTCACAAAAAATCTCAAAGGATTCGTAGGTTACACGTGCATACGTCCTTATAATTTGCAAAATCGAGCAAAGAGCAAGGCAATTAATTCGAAGGTAAAAGTATGAAGGTAAAATTAATGTTACTAAATTAACAATTTAGCTTGTTATTTTTTCTTTTACATAAGATACATATACATGTCGTATACATACGTAACATACGTATACATACGTATATACATGTCACAATTATTCGTAAAAAAACATATGTTTATTACATTTTTTATAATATATTTTTAGAAGAATTTAGAACTGATTATTCTTATTCAAAAGATATTAAAAAAAGAATTATGTTATATTATGTTATATTTTATTGTAATATTACTATACATATAATAATAATTATATTTATTATATCTTTCTCAAATATGTTATATTATTTCACAATTCTATATAAATGCGTAATTCTAATAGAAATTAAAGAAACATTTGAAAAAAATACAAAATTACATTTTTCTGAAAATTTCTGTTATAGAAACGACGACCATGCACAAGAAATCATTTTCCTTCGCAAAAATATTCTCATACGCACGAACGTTTTCCAATTAAGACGAGAAGTACTTACAATTCCAAAGGCCGAAATTCGAAACGGAAGTTTTCTAAGCTTCAGCAAAGCAACAGATCTTATAATACAACGCTCTTAAAGGAAGATGTGCTTGAATCACTAGAATCTCTCTTTGACTTGAAAAAACCTTTAAATTTACGTGATGTGTATCCATTAGCGTTTGATTATTACAAGAAAAAATCAATCCAAGAAAAATCAGTTGAAGCGTATAATACTATAAAATCAGAATTTCTCGTAGAAACGTTATTTTTGCAACATATTTCTCCGGAGACAGATCTCGAGACTAATATTTTTCAAACGGTAATATACTATTATGTCATAATTCTCCAATTATTTTTAATTTTTCATTATTTAATTGATATACGTGCCTTTATATTTTTGTTTAAAAAAATTTATTTTAACAGTAACCAAAATAGTTATTAAAAAGTATAAATGTAACTTGTGTATAATATGAGAAAACTAACGAACATTTTAGAATGAAATACGTGACAAAACAGAAGATGAACAGAAGATAAAAACTAAATTAGAAAAAGAAGAATTCCAGGCGACTATATCAAATTCTGTACAGAAATTACAGCAAAACGTTTTTAATCAACAAAATCGCTCAATGTAATAATTAATTTTTGTAGAATTTGTTACATTCATCGATACAGTGTGAAACAATAATTGTACATCGTAGAAACATGGCTGAAAATGGCGAAGCACCAGAAGAACAAGAAAAGAAAGTAGTAGAAGCAGTAGATGAAGATGCTATCGTAATAAAAGAAGAACCCACTGAAACAGTAGAAGATCTCGCAGAATATAAAATTGAACCTGAAGAAACGAAAAAGGATGAAGAAGAGCGTAAGGATAAAGACGAGGTCAAAGAAGAGCGTAAGGATAAAGACGAGGACAAAGAAGAGCGTGAGAATAAAGACGAAGACAAAGAAGAGCGTAAGGATAAAGACGAAGGCAAAGAAAACAAGGTTGATGATAAAGACGAAGATAAGATAAAAGATGAAAGTGACTTGATAGGAGAACCTCTTTTGCACTCTACCCTAGTTATTGCAAAAGGTATAATACAACTATGTTTAGAGAATAAAAATCAATATAATTGTAATATAAAATTATTACAAGTGTAATTCAAAATTACAGATGAAACAATAAGTTTTGGCGGACTTGCAGAATCCATAATCAGTTCACCTCTTTTAACTGATGACATGATCACAAAATTGAAGGCAATGGATGAGAGATGTATTATACTAGTAGATGAGATCCAACAACTGAAACGTGAAGTCCAGGAGTTATTAGAGGTACTATTTTATTGTTTTATTTAATATAACTATTAATACTCATAATTTATAATTATTTTCATTAATTTACAGAAGTCTGAGCTAACAGAGGAAGACACGTTCGAGATTCAAAAGAAACAGGATGTGATCATGTCAAAAGTAGCCGAACTCGAGCAACTGACGCAAAAATTTCATGAAGTATTGATGAGACAAGTGTATTTAATACAATTTTGATTAAGCAGCTCTTTTTTGTTTACGTATATGTTGATGACAAATTTAACACAATTGCAAAATAATGTGCGTCAACGAAATAAATAATGGCGTTGAAAGAAAAGTGTAATGTAACATAAATATGTTACAGACGCAAGTACAACAAATTGAAGACTTAAGTAGCGAAATAGAAATTATAAAGGAAAAAGAAGAAGAAGAAGTTGCAAATCAAATAGATCAAATAGAGGCATTTAAAAAAGTTTTGGAGAAAGATTTCTTCGAGTTACCACAAATAGAATATCCCGAAGATAAGTAAGTATTTTATTCATAAAAATGCTACGAATCAAAATAAGATAGTTTTGATTATATATTTTTATTCGATAATTATAGGCTTCCCAGAATAATTTTTTGCGGTTACACGGAAGATAAATTTCCAAAAGTTGTAATAGCGGAAAGTGAACGAAAAGGAAAAGTAAAATGTCTTGAAAAGTTAACTGGCAAATTAACAGAATCTTTAACGATGCAAGAAAAATTAGTGAAAGAAAACGCACAATTGGAAGGTGGAAGGTGTGTTCATTTCTTGTATAAGGTAGAGAAAAGAACGATTGTCTTGATTAATTTTTTTTTGTACGCTCAGTATATAAGAAATACTCAATAGTTATTTCATATAGTGAATAATCGAAGGCAGAATAAATTGAAAGTTATACGGTTTCCTCGGTGACGATTTCGCGATGTTTTCAGATGGTTAAGCATGCCGATTACACGTTACTCATACGTAACCCAATTTTATAGTATACCGATCTCGTAGCAATAAATAAAATGTGCACATTGATAATTACTCCATTTTTGAAAGATAGTTTTTATAACATTTTGATTAAATTTTTCGCGGTCTGTCAGATTCCAAAGTAAAGTAAACGAAAAAGATTATATGGAAAGCTGTTTTCCTGCAAACAGGTATAAACTCGAAGAAGCCTTGCTAGAAAAAGATACAGCTCTCGAGAATTTACAAAGGAAGGTATGCAACCTGCAAGCAGAAATGCGTATAATTGTCGAAGAGAATACAGAGTTGAATCGTCAGTTGGCTATTTTGAATCAGCTTGTGACTAGATCTACCCGATGTTGTACCTGTTCAGGTATTACCCCGTCATCTCCAACGTCACCATCGTCTTTGCCTCCACGTTCACATGTCAACGTACAGTTTAGAGACGACGTTTACTGCCAATGCAAGTGCTGTCTTCAATCACAATTTGATATCTTGTCACCGACTACGGAAACCGGTGAGACAATATGCAGTTATCAAAATATGTAATTTGACTAATTAAAATGTAACGCAATAGAGAAACAGGCTATCCTGTATATTATTCGTCAAACCTTTTGGTTGAATTTTGTTGGACTGTATAAGATTATAAACAATGTGTATATAAAAGTAGTAAATTTTCTCAAGAAAAATGTTCATTCAATCTCGTAGATTCACCGAGATTGACAGGAGGTGGATCCAAAACGGAGGATCATTATTTCACAGATAATAGCGCTTTACAAAACGTGGAAATGTGCTCGCGCAGTCCGGTTACTGTTAAGTCATCGCTTCCTCGAGGAATGTGTCCTGCAGAATTGGAAGATAAACTTGCGCTGTATGGTACTAACACTAAGCAGCTAGTGAGTTTTTAAATTTGTATAAATTATTTTATATAATTTATTTTTTCAGGGCGGTAAATTGTGAAGGCAGAGTTTGAGAAAATTAACGTAAAAAGTTAAACGATAAAATATTGTATCAACATTCTTGTAGCTAATTAACTTTTTTAGTTTCAACATCGTGTATTCGCAAAACATTATATGATAAAAATACAATATTTGATATCCAATATTCTATAAAACTTTCTGGTTACCAATTGAACGAATCTATAAAATTTTGTTATTTTCTAGGAACAACAATTAGGCAGCATGGAAACCGAGGTGCGCAACATGCAGATGGAATTAGCAAACGTACAAAAAGAGCGACAGCAATTGGAACAACAACGTAAATTGCTCAAATGCACAGGACCTTGTGCACCGTGCAGTTGCTGTCCACCTCCGCCTTCGATATGCGTGAAATCAGTGCCAGGACTTCCGTCTATGCCGCCGAAAGCATCTGCTATATCCGCGGTGTCTACCGCTCAGCTAGCTGTACAGTTTCCCCGATTGAATTATTTTTCAATCAAATTTTTCAATCAAATTTTTCAATCAATGTAGTTCTTGTGTTTTAAACAATATGAGTTTCTATATTTTACTTTTATATTTAAAACACTTCTACAATTTATGAAAGAAGTTCTTGTACGAACGCAGCAATGTTAAGGCTTTAGTGGAAGGCAATTTTAATTGAACGCTTTGAATAATTACATTAGCATATCTTTGACTGCAGGGCACCGATATAAACGCGCAACAGCAATTACGCGATCTTCGCGAACAATACGCCCGGCTTCAGGACGATTACAAAAGTAAGTTATGCGAGGTATCGTGCATGAGGACGGAAGCGGAAAAGATGAAGCAGGATACACGGGATGCTAAGGAAGAGAAAGAACGAATGGAGATAAAGTTGATAGATGCTCAAGAACGGCTAAAGCTTCTAGAATCAGAAAAGGGAAAATTTGACGGTAATTTCTTTTTCGTTGTAAAATTGATAAAAACGGTACTATTTTCGATTTAATGTATAAAGCAAAATGTAAATTAATTTTGAACAGGTAATAAGGAACAACTCATCGAAAAGGAACAGGCTCTAATCGTAGCGAAGCAACGCTTTCGAGAAGCGCAGGATGAGCTAGAAGAGCTACGTTCCTTGATTCAAGATCAAGCTGCTCAGTTGGAGGATTATCGTAATAAATATTTGCAAGTTAGTGTCATTCTAATTTATTGACTAAATTGTATCAACTTATTTATTTTCAAGCGTAAGGAATTATAAGACTGAAATCAAAATAATCTTAGGCCCAGCAACAAGTTGAAGAACAGCGCAGACAATTGGATCTTATGGAAATGGACAATGCGCGAATGAATGAAAATGTTACTTTGGAAATTGGACGTGTTAAAGTATGTCAAAGATTAGTTGTGATTGCGATCTGATTTGGAACTACATTCTCATTTTATATATGCTAACGTGATGCAATCAATTTAGAATCAATTTCAAGAAAAGTTGGCCGAACTTGCACCATTGCCCGATATTTTGAAACAAATGCAAATAAAGATGCAGGAAGCCCAACAGATGCGCTTAATCGCTGAACGTAATTCCGAGGATTTGTCACGGGAATTGTTAGGATACAAGGATAAGATTCAAACTTTGCAAAATCAATTGGATGTGCTGCACACTGAGCATCGGACACTTCAAGTTGTAATTTGTATGATTATCACGATTGTAATAGGAAATAATCGATTACATATGTAGGATGAAAGGGGACACGGATCCGGCAAGTTCGACGAAATGGAAAAAAAATATAGCGAGCTACGGCACGAAAACGAGAGAATGAAACACACGGTGGCACGATTCGAAGAACACGAAGCACAACTGCAGAAGCGCATCGACGAGAAAATGCATGAGAACACGCAGTTGTCGTCGATGTTGGATCAGGTATGTGTTGACGTTGTAAAGAGATTTCTCGCAAATAAGTACCTTTTCCTTCAAGATAAGAGAGGATTCCGCTCGACAAGTAGCGAGAACAAAGGAGCGATGCGAAACTATGCGAAGATCGATGCAAGGGCAGATCTCTGAAATGGAAAGGCAATTAGCGCAATGCAGAGCGACAGCACGTGCCGCCCAACGCGATAGAGATGAGGTAACTACTATGAATAGTATGAATATTTTGACGGGTAAAGATGTACTTACGATACTTTTGTTAACTTTTCTAGATCAGGCAAAAGATGCAGGGTCAAATAACTAATTTGAACGAGGCATTTAAACACGCACAAGGCCGCATAAAATCTTTACAGGGTCACGTAAATTATCTCAAGACCTCTTATAGCAACATCTTTCTCGGTCAAGGAGAAACACCTACAGGTGCTCTGCCAGGGGACGATTCCTGCGACTGCAACTATTAAACATGCGTACTTTTCCTTTCAATAATAACGCTACATTTTTGCTCAACATTATAAAATTAATGTATACCAGTTGACACCGCACAGATTTTGTCGTGCATTTATATTCTAAATACTGTAGCCTTCTACAATTGACAAAGTTGGTTGATAAATAATTATTATACCGTCATTTTTATAAACATGTAAACTATGGAACAGATAAAATATAAAAAAATAAAGTCAAAATCTACATAGTATATAACGACCATCTATTTCGTTATCTTTAATTAGTATATTTATATCTTCGATTAATCTCTTTACATAGAAAATGCTATGGAAGTATAGAATAATGCTACTTTCAAAGTTTTAACAAAAACTGGCATTTTCTGTTAAATATGCATATATTAGATGTAAACATATTTTTGTATCACATATATATGTATATATTTTATTTAACAAAACGATTATGTACTTTTCTTATAAGCAATAAAATATAGGAAAACAGCAGTGGAATATGATAGTGTCTTAATATAAAAAAAAGATAATATGATATATGTACATATGAAGAAAAAGGAAATGGTTTACTCAAATAAACTTCTTTAGTTTGTGTCCACTGATTGAAGCATATTGAGCATATTGAGAATAGCATCCGAGCGTGTTCGCACTTTTTCCATTTCTACACGAAATTCTTCCAACTGAGATTCAATTCGTTTTGCGTAGGCATGACAGCACCTGTAAATAAATGTTAAATAATTTTGACATTAAATCAAATATAATTTAATTATTAAATTAACAATAATTTAACAATTGATAAAAATTTATTAATTCTTATTAAAGTACGAAATTCTAACCAATCTTATAAAAATGTCAAGTCATTAATTATATATAAATATCATATATATATTTATATATTTATATAACACATATTTATATAATTCTGAAAAATCGCAGTTTGAGAGCAAATATTTAGAGCATACCTTCCAGCAGCTTGTTCCGGAGATGCACATGGCGTAATTTTGATTTGTGGAGAACAATTCATTAAATTAGATTCTTTTTTATGTGTACAGCCTTTGTTACTAGTAGATGCATTAGAATTATAGCAATCTCCGCATCCCCGTATAAAATCCATCAAAACTCCTCGTACTCTTTTCCCAATTAATCTTCGTCGTTTCGTCTAAATAGAAAAAAAAAACAATATAAAGATATATATAAAATATTGCTATAATCGCAAATCTTTATAAATTTGCAGATCATTTGCAGAATTGTTTACAACATACCTCTGGGGTTTCGCTATTTTGTTTTAGTCCTATTAATGGCTCATCTTCATGTACATTAGGAGAAAGATGATTACACGAATCGCTACATTCTCGATCTGTATTCATTGTTAATGGTTTACATGTACATGATTTTCTCAATGTATTATAACATTTGGGGCTCTCTTGACAATTCTCTCCTTGATCATGTAATGAATGATGACATGCTGTATGACATCTGCATGTAAACTCACCGTCTTCCATGGTAGGATTACTTTCATGTAAATGTTTATTAGGCTCCAAATTTCTTGAAAAACTTGAACGTTCCTTACTGCTTAATTTCTCTTTGCTACAATTAAAATTATCTTCAAACTTCTGTCTTTCCTCGTGTAAGGAACAATTACATTTCTGCTCTAACATGTCTACATTATGAATACAGCAGGAATGTAATTTTTCTTGGGGATGTGTTCGTTTGTACCTCGTCCATTCTTCATGGTTCTTTGAGGAATCACAGTTTTCACAAGAAGAAACACATGTGCTTGCATTATATACATTATCTGCATGTGCTTTGTCTGTTGAACAGGATGGCTTTGCCGTATTAAATGAAGATGAATGTGAGAAATTGAATGCAGCTGGTGACAGCTCAAATTTGGGAGAGTATTTTGATTTTTTACTTGTTGAACACACTAAATTACTGCCATTGTATCTTGTCTGTGGAGTCTTCTGCCAGCAATGATACTTCTTATCTTTTACTTTAGTGGATGTTTCTATTTCATTTTCAGTCTCAGCTGTGGATTCTTGACTAATCTGTAAAATACATTTTAGAATAAATAAATATCATAAAATCCTGCAATCTTAATACAATTGTATTTAATTATAATTTAATATAATTTTTAATTTACGATCGTTTACCTCTTTGCCCCAAATGTTGACTGTTCCATTTATTTCAGACATCCTTACTTCTAAATTACCAAGTAAGAATGGACCACATTCACGAAGACGTCCCTTTTCATTGTCTTCTTCTTTAGGCTCCTCTGCTTGAATTAGAAAACTACGATTTTTACTATTTTCATTTTCATGGTATACAAAACATTTTACATTATCCTCTGGATCAGCGCTTTCTGTTTTGCTTTCTGCTGTAGATGTAGCAGCCCCTAAGTGACTTGTGTTAGTATTAGATAAACCTTCCTGTGATTGTACTCTCTCATTTATCGAATCATATGAATACTTGAAATGATATTCTTCATTCGTTGTTTCATTTAATTTCGAACTTGATTCTCCAGTAGTTTCGAAAGCTTTGTAAGATTGTATATTAGATACGCCAGGAATATCAGCAATCTTCCTTTTCTTGAAGTTAGAAGATCGATTTTGGTAGCTGTCATCGTCATTTTGCAAGTCCATTGCTGTACTTTCATTTAATCTTTTCTTGGAATTTTGTACCAAAGGACTTTCTGGCTTTGCTTTTCCCTGTGTAATGCTTGCAAGTGTTTGTAAAATTCGCGATGAAGTAATGAATGTGCGAGAAAGTGGACGTGCCGTTTTTCTTGGTGTAGCATCAGTAAGCATCATACTATCGTCAGAATGTAATGCTTTTGCTGCTTCAGGTGGTTTCATGGATATTGATAAATTGTCACTCCATTGATCTATAGAGCTTAATGTCAAAGCGACACTACTATTTGATATTTTATTGTTAGACTGCTTTACATGTGTAGGCTCTGTTTGATTATGTTTGTGTGTAGAATCAGTAATATCTGTTTGAATTGATGCAACTTTCTGTTCTAGAGGTTTGCTTTCTTTCTTATATTTTGCTAAAGATTCTCTCAATTCATCCATCTCTTGTTTAATTTTTAAGTTCTCTGCAAGTTGTTTCTGATATGCATTGTGCAAATCATTATACTGTACAGTTTTCTGATTTAATTGATCCTTCAATGTAATAATTTCTAAAGCATCTGAAGGTTTACTAAGTCCTTCGTTTATTTTGTCGAAAGTTGCTTGTTCATTATTTTTCGCTTCATCTGCTATTGCTCTAATGCTTTTTATATTTTCAATCCTTAGGGCACAAGTTGTATCATTATCTATATCTATTGGCTCTGCATTATTGTATATTTCATGTTGAGTTTGTTCTTGCTGAATAACACGTGCATTCTTATTTAAATCCGTTTTTTGACTAGAACTGCTGTGTACATATTCCTCATAATTTACATTATGCAAGTTGTAAACTGTTGGTACTTCTTGATGACCGTTTTGTATAAGAGATGGTTGCATGGCGTCTATAAAACGTGGAGTTTCTCTTTCAGGAAAATTAAACTTCAATTGTTTAACTTCAACTGTGCCATTTTGCTTTTGTGTTTTATCATCAGTAATTAAAGGATCTGTTTCATTCTGCGTTTGTTCAAAAGGTATATTTATCTGGACTTCGTTCTGGATACATTCTTCCTGTACAGATTCCAAACCATTCCTATTATCTTGACCATTTAACATTACCGACGAAATATTGTAAGCTACTTTATTCCTGTCACACACTTCTGCAATTTCTAATTCCTTGATTGTTCTTTCAGCATAACTTTTTATTCTTTTGTTAGGCATTGTAGATTCCATCTTTCTTGTATCATTATTTTCATGATCAGTATTGTTTTTATTATGAATTGCATCTTCCTGGTGTTGTTTTGTTTGTCTTTCCATAGAACGTCTACTTTGTTCCCTTATTTCTTTAATATAAAGCTTGACTTTACTTTCTACATGATATTTTGTTGGAAAAGATGGTTTCCTATGTATCATGGAATATGTCACAGCATTTTGTGGAATGTTTAGATAATTTTGCTTTGTATTCTGTAGGTGTTGTCTCTTAGAATATCCCACAAAATCATGATTTCTATATGTATTCAAATCTTGAAGAGAAAGGCTTTTTTCTTTATCTTGATTTTTTAATCTTTTGGTTAAGAGAAAATCATCAGATTTTCTATCATTCCAATTTCTCTCATAGTTACTATCAATATCATCATCATCATCATCATTTTGCATTTGTCGAAAACCTTCTTCATCCTCTTCTTCATCTTCATCATCTTCATCATCATCTTCTTCATCCATCAAATGATTCATTTGTCGACGTTCTCGATGAAATTTGTTAAGCTCCAAATTCTCCATCTCTATAATAAAATAATTATTTTATACAAACAAGTAAACGATGTAATTATATATTAATAGAATAGTTATAAAAAATTGATTATTTACATAAAATAATGCACTATAAGAACCTCATTTAGTTTTACTTTTTTTAAATAACTTACCTTCGCTATCTGCATATTCATCTTCATCGTCTTCATCGTTAAAAGCATGATGATCTGTTTCTTCCTCAGATGATAAAACATATACACTGCTAGGTGCTTGATCATCACTATTATAAGGACTTGGACAATGATCTTCCTCCACGTCCTGAGGCTCATTGTCCTGCTGTTTGACGTTAACTACATCTGAATCATCGCGTCTCGAGGTACTAGAGACACTGATGTATGTAGGCATTTCTTCATCTTCTAGCAATGTTGCATCCGTACGATTCATCATCAATTTTACCTCGCTTTTGGACGAATTATTAGGTAAATCCTCCACCGCTTTTGTTTCCGTCTCGGTGTCATCAGGCGAGCGTTCACTATTCTCCGACATCGTGGAAAGCTACGAATGGAAAAACTATGAATTACTATCAATAATGCAATTTAACATTGACGATCAGAAGACGAACAAACACGAAGATTTATTTCTAATCTATTCGAAGCCGGCAAATGTACGCAGCGTGCGATAGAAAAACACTTTTTCACCAGCCGCCATTACGAAGCACTTCCAATAATACCTTTCTTTATCCTCCCTTTACAATAGTGCCGTGCAAATCTGCTTCATCATTTACTTTACATTAATACGAATAATTCGTGTTTTCGTTCGATAGCGCGAACTATCAGTTGGGCAGACAACTGTGCACCAGATGAACACTTTCAATATCGAGACACAATCGTCGCAAGATTAATGACCTGTGTATCGCAGGGCCGTACACACGTCCAGAAACTACGTAATTTTATTTTATTTTACTTGTATGTGTACCAGTTCGACCAGTTTAAAATTAATAAACAAAAATTAAATCACCTAAAGCATCGTTTTAATAAAATTACAATTTAATTTAAGTACTTTTCTTTTTTCATATTACATGTAAATGTTCCTGCAAATAACGAGGATAACGCAGCTTGCACGCATGCGCTTTCATGAATTTCACAAAAAATCGCATATATGCGAATTTTTTATTTTTCTTTTATTCTAACAATCGATTCTGCCCTTATACGCACAATCAAAAATTCATATTGCATAATTTTTTCTGCATCTAGGAATTTATGCGTTGAATGCAAAACGAAGATACTGCGGTGGCGTACCGCTACGTTGAAAACGCTGATTATTGTCGATAACTAGAAACACGCTGTGAGTACGCGCGGAAATCTGATTGTAACCTCGAAAGCCTTCGATTTTTGCGCGTAGTATAACGATGACTTCAATAACAGCTGGACTTCCGCTCACAATCGAATTTGGGTAAGACGAAATAATAAAATACGTTCGATTACGCATTAAACAGCAGAACTGTAATCAATGTCGCCGAATGTTCACAGGGGTGGGGCGGAATTATTATTTGACAAGAAGAGAGAACACAAAGTGGACCTACCTGGCGAGGAGTGTAAGTAATGTTACGTGAAAAACGTATAATCGGTATTTGTCTTCGCCAATAATGTGTCACACGATACTTCACAGGGACCTTGAAACAACTGCTGTTCTGGTTACGAGATAACCTCCTGACGGAGCGGCCGGAACTCTTTATGCAAGGTGACACAGTGTAAGTATATCCTTGTGCTTGTTGTTGTCAATCTCGTGTAATCGTGTCCAATTCGAGCAAATACGCGTCAAAAAAGGTTGCGATATCGTGCTACAATATCGCGAACATGTTACTATGCGCGTAAACGTGTTACATTCACTATGATTCGGTTGTATAAACGGAACGAACTGATATGATAAGATGGCGACCACATTGTTTATTCGTTGGCGAACACATAGGGTGTTTACGATAATTCAAGTTCGAGTTAGTTTCACTAGGACCGAAAAATGAGATAGACATAACCATCTAGAATCTTTATGATTTATGACAACTCAACGCTGTCTTGTATTGCTTGAGTTAGGGCCACTTTTTCCAACGTCGGTTAAATTTAACCGACGTTGGAAAAAGTGGCCCTTAAATTAATTGAATTTGTTGAGTTTATAGAGCAAATTTTATTGTAATAAAAAAAGGTTAACTGCAAATCAATCTATGAAAGAAACAAATAATGTTGGTATGTATGTTGGTATACCTCTTTAATAGATATAATTATATATATATGTATATAATTATATTTATTAAACTCAACAAATTCAATGAATTTAACTCATTGAACTATATACCATACTGGAACGAGCACAGGCTACCCCCTCCATTCGACAAAACGGTCAGACAAGGCAGTGACTCAGTACCGGATTTCTCTTTCTATCTCGTCTACTCTCGACTAATAGTAGCTGTGAACACGTGACCAAAACTGTTGGTTAGATAGAGAGATCCGGGTCCGAACAGCTATCTCCATCTGACCGGTCGAGAACAAAGGCGTGCTCGTTCCAGTATGGTATATATTTCAATGATTTAACTCAAGCAATACAAGACAGCGTTGAGTTGTCATGAATCATAAAGGTTTTAGATGGTTATGTATATCTCATTGTCGGTCCTAGTGAAACTAACTCGAACTTGAATTATCGTAAACATCCATAGATGTTAGCATTAAGGCCGGAGCACAGACTTTTACATAAAGCATAACGCATAAGCATAAGGAAATTGATTGGTCTATATATAAGCATAAGCAAATGCATAAGGAAACGGACCAATCAATTTCCTTATGCTTATGCGTTATGTTTTATGCAAAAGTCTGTGCTCCCGCCTTTATACTCATAGTGGATTTTGTCTTATGGAGGATTCACACTGTACGTCTAACCAGAGAGAAACCTGAGAGAGGCCACGCTGCCGTTCTCCGTACAACGCTTTCTCTAGGCCGTACGCTAGTGACGCACGTCCATTTCCGGCCGGCTTAGGAACTAAATAGCCACGTCCATTTTCCGCATCGGTCAAAAAGTCACGTCTATTTTCTGAGATGGTTCATGTCCATGTTACATCCACAAGCGAAGCTATTTACGTCACGCGTCCTTGCCGTGCGTTAGACTGTTTGATCAACAGCAGCGTACAACAAAGAATCAAGCGTTTTTTAATCGAGTAAGGCGAATCGCTTGAATATTAAAGATCCCATATTCGAGACCTACTTTTTGCAACTTTTTTTTCCTTTTTTCGCTATTTTTTTCAACTGTATATAATCAAATTAATAAATTTAAAATAAAGTTTAATAATAAAATAATGTTAAAATAATAGTTAATATAAAAATAATATTAATAAGCTTTTATTGCAGAATTGTAAAATTATTTTTAATTTTTTATTAACAATAACAAATCAGTTTTTATTAAATAATTATAAAAAATTTTTTATAATTAAAAATGTCTTTTATAATGTTTTGTAATATTTAGTACATGCTATGTACAATAAATATACATATTTTTATATAACTAACATATGATCTGTATTAAAAAATGTTTTCTCTTTCTCGATCCTTCAAAAAAAAAAGTATTAATCGTAAAGAGTGATTCAAATAATAATTTCAATGTAGAAAGAAATTCAGTCTCTTATGCAAATGTAATACAAGTAACGATAGCATCGATCTCATTCTTAATAATGTGCAGTGGCTTAACGGAAAATAGTTGGTCTATCACAACGCAGATCAGGTTTTGAGACTGAGTGGTGTCCGATTTTTTTCAAGTTTATGGTACATCTTATATAGATCACATTTAGATTTGATAATTTAACACAGGCCTCGGAATTATTTCATCTTTTCAGCCGATTCTCGTGGTACACGCCTCCTTTCCTCTCTTCACCGCGCGCGCGGCAAACGCTAGGGCCAGCGCCGCCGAGCGTTAAGAGCGGCGCTATCCGATTAATGTTAAAAAAATTTATTAAAAATATTATTTTCCTCAATAGCAATAGTACCTCATGGGTGACGTGGAAATCTATTGAAATATTTTCACATAATAAATTTTGAGTCGGAGACATTTTAATAAATTTTTAACTTTAATGATCAAGGAAGAAGAACCCAACATTTATCGGATAGCGCTGCTCCTAACGCTCGGCGGCGCTGGCCCTAGCGGCTGCCGCGCGCGCGGTGAAGAGAGGAAAGGAGGCATATACCACGAGAATCGGCTGAAAAG